TCACGTGCACGTGGGTACTGCAGCCTTGCAGGGCGTACGGGGAGAGCATGGCCGCGAAGGCCAGGCGCATCCGCAAGCAGTCGCTGGAGGGGGCACGGGCGGGTTGGAAGCTGCAACGACTGATCATGAAGAGCAACGATGATGTTCGGCAAGAAGTCTTCATCATGCAGGTACAGCAGTGTTTTGTTTTTCGTCTGGTTCGTCGTTCGGCTGTTTCAGCGATCCCTTATTTTTTTTTGTTAGTGTTCACTCGTGTTGTCTGGATTTTTACCGTGGGAGTAGCAAGAAGTCTGTCATCCAGGTACATTTTTGTTCCTTGTTTGTTAGGCTCTGTCTGGTTTGTCGTTCAGTTCTTTCGACGATTGTTGTTGGTGATTTGTGAAACGCATTTTCACCAAGGGGATACATATAAAAGTGTTCATGGTTGCCGTGATAGTTTTGCACATCAGGACCTCTAGAGTGACTGTAACGCCAGCCAATGTTTGCCGTTTCCATCGCCCTAGTCGTTTTCGCAACATCGATTACGATCTGGCTCGTACATACTTGACTGCCCTATGGTCACCACGTGTCTTCCCCCCCATCCTCCCCCGTATAATTGAAATGCAGTCGTTGAAAGTTCTTGCCCGAAAACAGAACAAACTGCAGTGAAAGGCTTGAAAGTTTTCGGTCCACAAAGCGAAGAATGCATTTTAGATGTAAGTACATGTTGTTATCCCAAACCTAAAAAATGGTTTTAGCAAGTACACACACAATCAATCAGAGACCCATTCGAGATTATAAAGTTGTGTCCCTGCGGACTACGCTCTTACCTCCCTTCCACAGCTGATTATCTTCTATAAGGAGGTGTTCGAGAGGGAAGGGCTAGACTTGTGGCTCAAGCCGTACAGCATTCTCTCCACCGCCAAGACGACAGGGCTGATTGAGGTAAGGGTAGCAGGACAACCTTGACACCGATGTTGGCGTATTGATTGATAAGTGGCGTCTCGATACGTGGACTACGCGTATGTGGCGGAGGTCTCGCACGAGTGGATTTGGCTTCGATGGTTCTGTCCAATTATGTGTACCGTATGACACTCGCCTTGGGGCGCGATGATGTGTCGTGTGTGAGTATGTGGAGTAGATGGTGGTTGGCATATGTGCAAGCCAGAAATTCTTACCACGACGCAGGCATGCCGTTCCGTACCCAGGAACGCATGCGTTGATGTCAGGCAAGTGGCACGCTGCGCTGTGCGTAACAAGCCTCTGTCTCGAATCCGCTGCTGTCACGAAAACGTGGAAACGCCGCTTCGTCCCGAAACGAAACAACGCAGGTGCTGAACCAGGCCACCTCTCTCGACGGCCTCAAGAAGAGCGAAGGGTATCCAGGGTCCTTGGTAGAGCACTTTTATGCCGTGTTCGGCCCGAAGGACAGCGAAGGGTTCAAGGCCGCGCAGCGAAGATTCGCCTGTTCACTCGCCGGGTAACGGCCGGCCGCTGTTGCTGTTGGTGTTTGTTCGATCCCTGTTTTTGCTGCTGCTGAGGCTGTGTATTGGAATGGTTCCTCCCTGTCGTTGAGTTCAGTTTGCAGCGGTGGCAGCCGCTCTCCGCCGGTGAGAACCAGGTTGAAATCAGCACGGAAACCTAAGGTGCCGCTTGAATCGCTGGGGCGATTTTGTGTGTGAAGACGTAAGAGACTCTTTGGCGACGGGTGGTATGTAGCTGCTGGTTTCGCTGTGTGCACCGTTGGCAATAGCGATACCACATTCGAACCAGCAGCGGCGACTGGAAGAAAGAAAGGAATATCACTCAACACTCCCACCGTAAACCAAGACCAACAACAACACTATCAAAAACAGCAATGAACAACACCAACAACAAACACTTACCAACTGCTGCCGGCGCGTCCATCTTGCCAGGTACTCGGTGGTGTCGTACTTGTTGCGTATCAAGGACCGCCACAACGGCAACGTCATGCTCGACTCGGACGGCCACATCGTTCACATCGACTTCGGGTTCGTGTTGGGCACCGCCCCGGGAAACAAGGTGCGAACCAGCACAGTACGCTACCGGCACCCCATCTAGAACCTGGAAGTCAAGCTGCTCACTCTGATGATGAATAAATTCACTCTGGAAGTGAAGATATTCACTCTGGATTCACCCAACCAAACCAAACTTATTGAGGATGGGAGTGAAGAAATTGACTCATCCAACAGATTGGAATATATCCAACACGGTAAAGCACTGAGCACGCCTTGGGGCTGTGTGGTTTACTTAGCATGGCGTTTGGACGTGTGTTCGAATCCTGTGCATTCACGCGAACTGGAATTTGCTCTTAGAATCATCTAAAATGACGTTGGAGGAAAGCGATAGTTTCGATAGTTTCGTGTGTAGCAGACTTTGGCAGCTGTATCCTTCTCGCGATATTCCACCGCAGAAAGACGGCGGAGAATATAAGCCCTGCGTGGCCTTGCTCTTGTGTGATTTCACCCCGGCTGGTTCGTCGAGAATGAATTAATTGTACCGACTTGGCGGAAAGCGATCGTTTTCGATAGTTTAGTGTGTACGTAGGGATTCGACTTGACGGCTGAATCCTTCCCGCCATATTGCACCGCAGAAAGACGGCGGAGAATGTAACTCCTGAGTGGCCTTGCTCTTGTGTAACTTCACCCACGCTGGTGCGTCGAGAATTGCACCGAAAGGTTGAACAACCGACGTCTAGAATGAATGGAATGATGCTTTAGATGGTGGTATGAAATTCACTAGAAGAAAACCATGAAGTCAACATGAGAGTGAAGAAGTTCAGACGAAACCACACTATTTTGAGGACGGGAGTGAACAAACTCAAGATGCCACAACACGATTAGTCGCTGCAGTTGACCATAGAGCAGGTGATCTGTCGAGAAGCCTCAAGTCTTTAATAGTCTAAACGAATACCTGACCCGAAAAATGCAGCACAATGTGTTCTCCCCATCAACAACACTCCGGTCGTTTGGTCGGTCGTTCCGCGTGCCCAGATCAAGTTCCTAGTTTTTTTATGTCGCATCTTTTCCCGGTGTTTTGTTTTTGTTCTCCGGCGGAAGTTTTCCATGGAGCGAGCGGCGTTTAAGTTTACCTCGGAGTACTTGGAGGTCTTGGGAGGGAAGGACTCGCCTATGTACGAGGAGTTTATCGAGATGTTCTGCAAGGGGCTTGCTGCGGCGAGGAAGTACGCGACGGTGACCATCACCATGCTGGAGATCATGATGTTCCAGGTGAACAAGAAACGTGTTTTGATTGGTCGTATTGAGGGGGAATTTTGCAGGTACATTTTTTTTTTCCCAACATCCCCCCTGCTCCGAAGGGGAACATGTGTTCTTCTCGTTTCGAGGTTTGGTGAATCACATGTCGTCGCCAATACCACCGGTCAAGGAGACCATCATGTGTTCCATGTACCATATCTGCGGCAGCACTAACAGTCACCCATGGAGAGTATGGATGATGTTCCAGGCAGCTCGTGGACGATCGCGGTTGGCGGCAGTGTCCTTCCTTGCTCTGTACGGAACCAGGGAAACTTGGTGGATTTAGTTGTTTGTTGTGATGGGTTGGCAGTTAACCACGGGTTCCCAACGTCGACGCACTTGGTAGATTTTAGATTTTACTGCGAACCAGATGCAGCCTATGCGTCACAGCAGCGTGCTTACCCCTCCAGCCCCTATCGCCCCGGCTTATTCCCCCCGCGCAGTCGGAGTTCCCTTGCTTCGAGTACATGGGAGATGCCGCCCTGACCATGTTCAAGAAGCGCCTCATGTTGGGCGCTAAGGACTCGGACGTGGCGAGACGCGCGCGGCGAATGGTCAAAAAGGCTAACGCGCACGTGGGCACCCGCTTGTACGACCAGTTCCAGCTGTGCACCAACGGGATCTTGCCTTAAGATCGGTATTGCGATCGTGGCAACGTCTATCTGCGCGATCCCGAGATACACGCATGCGTGGTATTTTTCTGTCTTCCCTGCTTGTGCTTTGTTGCACGTGGTGGCATGTTGTAGGAAGATTTGTCGGATTGTCATTTTTTTGACATGCATCCGTCTTGATCGATTTTTTTGTACGAATAGAGAATAGTACGGCTATGTTGTGAAGTTGAGGGCGGAGTGGTGTAGTTGTGCCCGGGTTCATCCACTGTGAAGTTGAGGGCGGGAGTGGTGTATTTGCCCGGGTTCATCCATCGTTTGTGATGTAGTACAACAGTGTGTCTTCGGGACTCCGAGATGCGCACCAACCCACTCCTTTTCTGTGACAGTTCGTGAGGACAGAGTGTATCGAACTCGGGGTTTGTGGTCCACGGAGGTAACTTTGGAGCGCAGGGCAACCTGTATTGCCATGGTGTTGCTCACACAGAGTCGGGATAGTTCCGAGCACATGCAGCTTTGGCGTGACCCTATGCTCACAATTGGTATTTTGGGAGCGGTACTTGTAGTGCTTCGGAGAATGGCGATAGGTTTCTCGTGGGCAATGGCCTCACTTTGTGGCCTCCTTGGCTACAAGTAATCCAACCGTGTAGACGGAGTGTTGCAGCACGGAAATAGGGCCTGTTAGCCAGGTCCCTGGTGTACGGTATGGGCCCAACCCATGGCGTTTGAGAGCGCGGCAGGCACTGTTCCTCCCAAATGGCGTTCGTGGGTCTTCCGCTCAGACACGACCGGTTGCTTCAAGGGACCCGGGGTAGATATTACCCCTTATTGGCCGTTATTTGAAGCAAACAAAACCGTCGGCGACTAGCTGGTCCACCGGCGACAGAGTTTTTTTGCGTTGTGGCTTGAGCAAGGCGAAAGGAGTGCGTCGTAACAGTTTGATGGCTTGTGTGTCGCCGCAGTAGCACGGGCCTTGATGGCGCGATGTTCGATGACAGCAAAAACGCTTGGAAGGCGCCACCGCTCCAGCAAACCAACTAACAATATTGCTACGAAGAGGTTGCACCATGAGTCCACGGCGGGTCTCTCTCTGTGTGTGTGAGCTGAAACGATAGACGATCGTGAAGGAGACGTTGACCAGATGGGGAGCATACAAGACCACCCAGCAACAAGGTGCAAAGGCTTGAGATCCCTCAGCATTCGTTCGTGGTCACCGACATGCCACCCTAGACAAATTTCAAGCAATTTCGTCACCAAGGCCCGGTCCGAACATCGTTGCTAGTCACGATGGTTCCGTTTTCCCCCCCCAAAAACCAACCCGTCCTCAGCGTTCCGAACGCAACCTGAGACCGTGGACAACGACACACATAACAAGAAGTCGGCTCCGGCTCCGATGGGGCACGAGTAACACACGACAGCCGTGGCCACACCAACTCACACGCAGGCGGGACGTGACGCCTCTAGCGGCACGGCGACGCCAGTGAGTTTTGCCCCTGTGTTGCGATATCACGCCGAATCAAGTCACGACGCCGTGCTGCTCTACAGCATGCCATGCTTCTTCACGCCAGGCTTTGCTCGCATGCTCAAAAACGGCTTGCCAATAATGTGAAAGTCACATAACCCGAGGGTGAGTCGGGAGCGCTACGCTAGACGCAGCCCGCAGCCGCTTTGGTAAGACTTTTCGCGTTAGTGTCTTACCACCACCGCCAACAGCTCTTTCACATTCTGAACGCCGCCTGCCCGCTCGCTGCCAACCTACCCCTGCCCAACCCAGTCGACCCCGAACCCTTGGTCCCGAGGGCTTTCGCCTTCCACTGCCTGGGGCCACCTCCCCTGCCTCTCCCTTTCCGCTTCGCCCCCAAGGCGATGTCCGTGCACGTCAAGTTGCGCCGCTCCCTGTCCGACCAGCTGTCCTTTGCTCTGGAGGTGTCAGTCGGATGCAGGACGACCACGTGGGGAGAGAGAGGTGTACACGATTCCACGGCATGTGGTTATGAGTCCCGTCAACAGGTAGGCAGCGCTTTCAAGGCGCGTCTTTGCGTTGTTGGGGGCCTTCATGATAAAATGGTTGTTTGTCCGGGCTGGGCCTCAGCCACAGGACGCCCTCGTTGACACAAGGACGGGGCCTTGCTGTGGTAGGGCAACTGGAAACACTAGAAAGACGCAAACATCAACATAAATAAATAGCACACCGACGAATCCTTAGTTGGCACCATACACGATTCCACGGCATGTGGTTATAAGTCCCGTGAGCAGGTAGACAACGCATTCAAGGAGCGTCTTGGCGATGACGGGGGCCTTCATGATAAAATGGTTGTCTGTCCGGGCTGGGCGTCAGCCACAGGATGCCCTCGTTGACACAAGGACGCCAAAGGTGTCCCGACAATGGGGCCTTCCTGTGGTAGGGCAACTGGAAACACTAGAAAAACGCAAACATCATAAATAAATAGCACACCGACGAATCCTCAGCTGGCGCCAACCTCGGTTCTAAAGAGGTTGCGCCGCGTGCTCACCTAGCCGCCCCGCTGGGATCGAGCCCCTCCAGCCTGTCAGACATCCACTTACTACTCCCATACTCGCCACCGCCTTTATCACCAGAGAACCCCCCGTCGGACCCTCGCTCCGCCACCGAGGTGCCACGTACCGTTTGCTTGCCGCTTGTGGCCGGCTGATGGGGTTCGAGCCATCCAGACAATGTCCCGTCATTGCCACCGCCGTTACTACGGGTGCTACACCCATCGCCTCTATCGTCCCGCCCCGGGGATGACGCGCCCACCCACGCGGTAGCGCTGTTGCGCCGCACGTCGGGCTCGTCAAAGGCGCCTTGCGACGGCCGCTGCCTCCGCCTCTTGGCCGCTTTCTTCGGGGAAGCTACCGGCTGGAGCCACGAACCCAAGAACTGCGCGCCAACTTGATCGGCGGCATTTGACGGGCGAAGCGGACCAGGGTTGGCGAACGCCTCGAAGGCATTCGACGTCGTGTCTCCACCGACGGGCTCAGGTCTTTCCGACGCGAGATCTACGGTGGCAGGCTCCTTGTCGCCCCTCCCCGCGGGTTCGGTGCTGGTCAGTCCTGGTGCGTCAGGAACATCGAGGGGGTTGTAGTCGTAGTCGCCTTGGGCATTTTGGCGAAGAGGATCGGCGGCATCGGACGAGAGAAATTATGAAAAAACAGAAGCAACTATCACGACACTCAAGTCGAATGATAGGGCTCCGCACTCGGGCAATTAGAAAAACATACGAGCAGCTGAACGTCAAAGGTTATTTGAAATAATTTGTGTTGCTTCTCGGTGTGACGGGTGATTGGTGAAATGCAGGTGTGTGTTCAATGGAGAGGCGAAGTGTACCATATGCTGCACCATTCAGCTGGAAGGCTTTTAAATACATGGTGGGTGGCAGGCAGATTGGATGAGCAGGGTTCATGCGGACAAGCACAAAGCAAAAGGAAGAACCAATCGTTAGAATCGTCCCAACCACCATTATGCAGGGAGATCACTGATGGCCCGCCACCACGGCCCCGGAAGACTCGCGAAATCCAGCAGTATTCTCCATTCAGAAACGGAGGGACAGACTGCGGCTAATGACGGAACAAGCAAGAAGCTTACTAGAGGAAGTTGGGCTACAATTATTTGCTGGCGTTTGGTCGTGCTTGGGAGTTACGGTGTTTTTCGGCACACTAGAAATTAGCAGCGGTACGACGGTGAACACATGACATGACGCTTGCTCCACGAGGCGAAGCTGACTATTGGGTCCCAACGATAAGAACCAGTTCCGCCAAGCAGTGAGATGAACGTCTCTAGAAAGACATACATCGGTGTTGATAAATAGAAATCCGTCCTATGCCTCGCGCACTGTGACAGCAATCTAAGTAAAGACAGCAGTCTAAGTACAGTATTACATACAGCACTGCTTCGCCAGCTCGTGTCCCACCGCATGAATGTGCATGCAGTCTTTCTGTGCGTGTATTTATTTCTCCTTTTTTTTGCATTCGCCTTCTTCGTGCAGGTTGCTGGCCGTTAGATTTTTTAAAAATCCGTGAAAAGTTCAAAAATCTGCCGCAGGTCAATCAGCAAGGCTCGTCGGCGACACAAAGAGAGGTGGTGGAACGACATGGCGTCCTACCTCTCACCAGATACGTCGTCGAACGTTCGACGCAGGCGCCTGTTGTCGCCTCTCCTAACAGCAACTCCAACTTGACCGCGTAGACGCTCGACGTTGTGATGCTCTGCTGCTGCTGCTGCTGCTGCTGCTGCCGATTTTCCTCTGTTGTTGCGATTCTTTCGATTTGCTCGTCGGGCTCTCGCCACTTCTGCGGCACCCCTCACGATCGTCAGCATTTCTCTACTACTCTCTATGCCAAAAGCGGCTTGGCGTGTCAGGATCCACTGAGCCTGAGGAATGCAATTGCGCACATGGACATGACACATTCAAAAGCAAACGAGGTCGGAGCTCCGCGGACTGAAATATTGTGAAGTGAGGTACTAACATGGCAGAAATGGTACAGCTGCTGTGCCTCTTCGTCCTGAGGGTAAGATAGGGCGCGGGTATAGGTGGGCAATTCGAGGAGCACAAGCAGGTTGGGAGGCCAAACAGCTGTTTGAAAGGGCTAGTGGTTGCTGTGTCAAGGATACGTCGAGCCGTGACCACTCTTGGAGCTTCGCCGCCCGAGTCGTAGCTCGTTCAACACGCCTTACAACACGGTGGAAATTTGAACGACAGCGCGCGGTGGCTTCTTTCTCTGCATCCTTCAGCAGCAGTCTATCGCCCATTAGAGCGGGCACTGCTGTACTAGCAGGCATCACAACCAAGGGGCTCTGTGACGGCCATGCCAACAGTTGCGATGGAGGTTGACAAAGAAAACCAGGAGATGGTAGCAGGCGCCTCGGGCGTCGAAAGCAAGGCACCGGTGCGCAGCAAGGGGGTCTCCGCCGACGATGACCGCGAGGCCTTCAGCCCCGACCTGCTGCGCATCTACTACGCCCGCCTCTTCCCCTACGAACAGGTGTGTAGGCATGTGTGATTGGATGATCGCCTTGGTAACTCTCATCTTCCCAGCTACTGCTGGTACCTGTCTCTACGCAGCGTTTCACTATTGCAAAACCGCGCAAAGAAACTATGAAAGCTTTTTGAAATCGCAGCGATTTTGAGATTTTGAATTCGAGCGCACAAACGGTTTGTACGGTAAATGACTATAAATGACACATGTTTTCGCTCAGCAGTGTGAGATCGGACAAGCGATGTACTCTGTTATATGTAACTACATAGACCTCGCGCACGTGTTGTTGCAAAAGGAAACTTTTGGTACTGGCTCCCCGCTGGCCTCTCTGCATGAAGAGTAAATTATGTAGACTGCACCCGGCGTCAATGCATATGACAAAATGTACAGCAGCATGCTACGCATACGCACACCAGTACCTCGGTACTCTCGTGCAGCAGTGGTGAAAACCCTTGATGTCCAACATACTTGAGTATAGAAGTGGCACGCGTAGGCAGGCCTCTGTTGTACGATACCACAGCTTGACTTGTGTTGGTGCCATGTACTACCCCCCGCAACGATGAATTTCGGTCCAGGGGTATGGTAGCTTATGTCACCTACAAGCAGTGGCAAACCCTTGATGTCTGATCATACAGCGGCACCCTTAGGAAGGCCGAGGTTGTAAGCGTACGGTATCATACAACAGCTTGATTTGTGTCGGTGAAATGTTCTACCCCCCCGCGACGATACATATTCGGTCCAGGGGGTGCGCTATCTTGTGTTTTCTACGGCGCACTGCTGTAATTCGTTGACATAAATCGCATGATGCTTGGTGTCAAACGCGGTGATACATCGACAACACGCAGATGTACCGATGGCTCGGGTACTCCAACATGCCGGCGTCGCTACCCGACTCGTCGGGAAAGCCGCAGCCCGTCGACGAGCAGGCGGATTTCTTCTCGAAACGAGAGTTTTCCTTCACCATCGAGGACGATGTCTACATCCGGTAAGCCCGACATGATCATGTATTGACATATTATTGGTGTCTGATTTTTGTATCTTCTTATATGAAACGCTCGTTGCGTTTGTACCGTAGGCACTAGCGCCTGGTCTACTACAGAGATTCCGTTTGGCATGAAGTTCGCCCGTTCGCTGATGTTGTGCCGGTTCACCGTCTCGCTTGGCGCTTTTACCGTGCGTCCTCGCCTGTGCGACGCAGGTACCAATGCTTCGCGGACCAGAAGGAGTTTGAGCAGCAGGTGCAGCGGAAGCAGCCCCACAAGATCGATATCGGGGCCGTCTTCACTCTCCCTCCCAAGGTGTGGGGAGTGCCCGCCGTGCAGGCCCTGGCTGCTGCGTGCGCTGGCACTTACCGCCACACGGCGTCGTATGATGCCCATCTTTGCTTGTGTAGCGTGCTTTGTGGTGTCCTGTACGTGTTGTGGGACGGTGCTGTTCGGCGCACAAGCAACATCCTTGCTCAGCGACGCAAAAGGAAATCGACAGCGTGCTCCACTGTGCCCACGATGTGTCGATATTGCCGTAGTTGTGACCCGACGGAAAGCGTGACGCCCCTTGTGATTCTGCTAATTGGGAAGAGCCTCTGCTTTTGTTGTACCCAAACATCTCTCTCGGACGTACAGCAGTATCGCAAGAATAAGGGCTCGTCGCCCCTGAACGAAGCCGGGAGTTCGCGTCGCACACACAGCACATACAGCTTTGTCTGATTGTGTTCGGTGTTAGGCCAGCTAAACCTGACGCTACTATGCGGCCTTATCCAGGAACCACTTCCATACGGTGGATCATCAAGCAGTTAGGACAAGTGTTGTAAGGAAATGGGTTTGATGGCCCTCCGCAACAATGGTTTGCTCGACACATACCGACTAAGATTCTTCTCCGCGGTGTCCTAATTCTCTCGTCGATATTGCTGTCGCTGGATTTTGCCCTGCCCTCTCCAGAACCCCCCCCCGGTGTTTGCCGTCGGGGTTGGGTTTTCGTCGCTTGGCAACGACGTTGTAAATCAAGCCCCCCCCTAATGGTCACGCACCCTCCAGGCAGTTACACAGTGCTTACAACTGTCTCTGGAAGTGAAGCACCAGAAAATAAATGAAGTCATACGCAGCTGTCATCCGTACGCAAGGAAGTAAGCACAAGATGCCGAAAACCCTTAGCAGGATCCAGCGCACCCTTCGTGCGACTCGCCGAATATCTCACGGCGCTTCGCGCTTGGTGATGTGAGAGCCTGGTCCGGTGAGAACCCGGCGTGCTCCGTCCCGGCTTTGTAGGGATGCGAGGTCAATGGTCTAACGACTACGGCATGCACGACTATGAGTACCCCCCCCCCCCCCCTTCTCCAGAACCACCTCGCGGTCAAGCCAGGGGCGTTTCAACCGGTAGAGCGTGAGCTGGTGTTCGATATCGACTTGACCGACTACGACGACGTGCGGACGTGCTGCTCAGGCGCGAAAATCTGCAATAGATGCTGGTCCTACATGACCATGGCGGTAAGTCTACCCTGTGAAGGCGTTTTTTCATTGACCTACAGAATACCGTTCGGTGGTTGACCTGTAGATGGCCCCGTTGTCTCTTAGCTGTACCCTATACAAAGGTGATAGGTGCAGACTAGGAGCCAGCTCTCCGTTGGTACAAATCTGTGCTTGTTGTAAATTGGCACTGGTCATATAGAGTGTTCAGTTTTGTTTTGTTGCATCCACGAAGCAAATGTATTCTGTATCGCGAACGTGTACAGCTCTGCTGTATCGAGCATTTTTTGTTTGGTGCTACAAGAGCAAGCCACGTCACAGCTACGATCAACGCATGTCAAGCGTGTCTTTGGATGAGGTGCCCGTCGCACCGTACAACAGGTCGCCTGCAAAAGCGTCTGCCGGCAAGAGAGTAGACGGGACGCCGGTCCCGTTCTCCACGTAGCCAACGGCAGCCCTAGGCGAGTAGTCTAATGCCGAGGAACATAACCAATCGCTAAGAAGTCGGGCCAAGAAGTGATTCACATGTTCGACATGTTCAACACACGCCAACGTGTGTGTCACGTCAGCCTCTCACATTCCTTAGTGATGAAAAGGTGCACACACATGTCCGACCCCTAACCCTAACCTTGGGCGAGTAGGGGACAACACCATGCGCGCCATACACGAAGGCGATTTGTGAAATCTCTCTACCTCGTAGAAAGTACCTGGTCCCTATTACGATATACTTTTGTTTTCTTGCGGAACGCAACCCTGCTGCAGGTGGAGGTGATGGACGTCGGGCTGCGGCAAGACTTCGGTTTCAAGCACATCCTTTGGGTGTACTCTGGCAGGCGAGGGGTCCACTGCTGGGTGGCGGACGATGCCGCGAGAGCATTGACCAACGAGGGCCGCGGTGCCGTGGCGGACTACTTCGGCGTCGTCGCCGGTAACGACAACCAGTCCAAGAAGGTGAGACAAGGCCGAAGTATTACTAGGTGGAGAGGTAGGCATCCGAGATAGAAAGATTGGTCGATAGCTGGGAGAGAGAGGGAGAGAGAGAGAGAGAGAGAGAGAGAGAGAGAAGAGGCCCTTGGCTTCAATTTCCGTCAAGCTCTTTGCTCGACTGTTCGGGGAAGGCTGACGATGGCGCCGGTGCCGGTCCTCGACGTCCACAGCAGCTCACCTTGGCTGTGTCGCCTACGTGACCACTAAAGCGCGACACTGGCCACGTCAATATTCCTCGCCTGGAAACAAGCAAACCGAAACGCTGTCTCGCGTCCGCTGCTGCTTCTGCTCCTGCGTCTGCCATGTCTACCGCCCCCCATCGTCTTTTCGTCCGGTGCGCGCAATCAGGTGAACGTCTCGTTACCGATACACCCTTCTCTGCGGCGAGCGTACGAAACATTGGAGCCCCTGTTCCTGGAGCACATCGTCACAGAGGAGGTTGATTACTGTGTTTATTGCTGTACAGGGCATTGTGGCAGACGCTCACTGTTTTTTGCGGGTTTTTCAATTTTTTCTGGACGTTTCTCTCGGGCGTGTGTTTTTATCGGGAAAGGGCGTTTAACACTGTCGGCGATTGTGCAGCAGTTGCTCTGGAGTTATCACATACGCGCGGATATTCTGTCCCGCTTTGTTGGAGTAAATAGCGTACGGATTGTGGTCGGCGACGGTACCCTTCATGTCCAAGCCTAAATCGGCGAGCCAACAGCGAGCAGGGGGAGTTGACGGAGTACTTTCCTGAGCCACCCCGAAATATAGGGAAGCCTGAAAAAAAGCGACTGCGTGTGCACACACGACTGCCGTGTGTGTAGGGGGGCCCTGTCTTTTTATGTCGTGGGGGATGCAGGGTAAATACCTGTGGACACCTGGTCTGGTTGGGGTGATGTTGTTCGACGTCAAACTCGCTCTAAGTCGGTTGTGCCCGTTGTCCTCTTGCCGCCATTACCGCACGGAAGGTTGTGTTGCTTTTTTTCTGTTCCGTTCGATTCCCGTCCGTAGCTCCATTCGCGGTACCCATTCTTGTTGATTTTTTTTATTCCTGTCTAGACATCAGTCGTGGCGGCGTGCACCCACCTCCGTCTTACCCTTACGCGATTCTGTTTTACAGTGTTTTTGGTGTTGTTTTTTCTCTTAAGACTTTCCACTGCCGTGCGACGACAACATGATACCCTGGTGTAGCCCGGTTAGCGCAGATGCCTATCTCCGTCGTAACCCTGTCGTAAAATCCTGTTGTGGGCCTTCGATTGTTTCCCCAGGGGCAAGGACTGCTGTCGGACCCATCACATTGGGGGAAGCTGCTGGCAACGGTGCCTGAGGATGTCAGGCAGACTCTGGAGGGCAGGTGGAAGGTCAGTGCTGCTCGGCAGGCCTCATTCGCTCGGGCGGTTCTGTGGCACGACTTTGTTCGTCTGGTTTGGGACTATCGTGCTGTCGTTGGCAACCAAACCTTGCTGTACTTTTTTTTTGTGCAGTTGCAACCGGTGCTGCCTCTTCTGATGTTCCCCGACATCGCAACGTTTTCTTTTGTTGGTCCAACGCGCCCTCGGTGTCTGTGGCGATGCCCTGGTGCCAATGAGGCCATTCCTGCTTGTCCGTCGCATGTCTCGTCACTATCGTCACCACTACTTGGTCTTGTGCTTGAAACACTGAATTTGCTGCTTTCCCGTTCGTTCTGGTCTGATGTTGCTGGTTTGCCGTCTTCTCCTTTCCCGCTTACCGCCACCAATCCCCTGTTCGGGGTGCACTGATTTTGCTGGTTTTACTGTCTTGTTCTCGTATTCCTCTTGTAGATGGGAGGTTCCTCCCCGGCGGATAAGTGGGAGGAGCTAGTGGAAGAGATGGAGAAGAAGGGCAGGAAGCAGCAGCAGGTATCTACATCATCGCTGCTGTATGACTACGGTAGGACCGTCGCTTGCTGGAAGCTTGCAGCGGTGATGGATACCTCGGCCGAAGGATTTTGTGTTGGATCCCGCCAGTCTTGTGGTATTGGTGACAGAGACAAGCAGGATCCCCCAAGCTTTGGGCAGCCTTTTCGGTTGGGGAGGTGGTGGCTGTTGGTCTTAATTTTCTTCTTCGCGTACCGAAAAGGGGTGAGTTGGGAGGGAGGGTGGAGCCCCCGGGACGAAACGATGAGGAGGTGTTCTTATGTTGTCGCCGGTAGGGCATCAAGTCGATGTGTCTCAAAAGGGGGACGGCACAGGCCGTGTACTGCAGTTCTGAACCGACTCGTCTTTGGCATCAGTGGTACCGTTACGCACCACCAGCTACTGCTGTGTCGTTGTGTCAGGCGATGTCCTCTCACTTCGTACGCGGCGACGTTAAAAACGGCCTTGTACACCATAACGAGGTTCTTGCGCCGGTGCGGGTGCTGATGCGCAGGCGGCGAAGAAGATGAAGCCGGCGGACAGACCGCCCACGCCGGAGCAGTGGCGGTACGAGGTGGTGTTCGAGCAAACGTACCCCCGACTCGACGTCAACGTGTCCAAGGGCCGGAACCATCTCCTTAAAAGCCCCTTCGGTGAGACGCAACATTCAACATTCAGTCTCGGCGGTAACATTTGTGAAGAAATTTCCTTTCAGACGCAAGCCGTGTGGGTATCGCCATGGTAGGGTTCTCTACAACACGCAGCGGCGTTTTTTGGTTAACAGCTCAGAACACGTTGTGATTCAGTTTTTCGCTTCAGCCCCTTTTTGGCCACCGGCGGTTCGGGGTGTTGTACCCATTAGGATCATCGTGATACTTCTAGAAGTATTAGTTTTTGTCGAGCTCTTGCCCTGACCTAAGTCTTTTCCACCCATCCTTTTGCGCGATGTCAACCCTTGGTTGCAGCGGCTCCTAAAACCCTAAAACCCTAAAACCCTAACCCTTACCCTAACGGGGCCAACTATGCACAACCTCAGAACGCTATACTCTTCTAATCCAACGTGTCTCATTCCTTGCTTTTTTGCAAGACCGTCGCTCCCCGCGGCGCTCACCACTTTCGCACCCCGTCTGTGCGTGACTTAAGGTTGTACTAAACCTTGATGCCATCTAAAGTTACACCAAGCGCGTGTCCCACAACATCCCTCTTTCCTGGCCAGGAGCGGCCGTCGCACGCTCGACGAAGCTCCTCACATCGAATATGTGCCTATTCGTGTCTTAATGTCGTCGGTCAGCGGTACACCCCAAGACTGGCCGCGTGTGCGTTCCGATCGACCCGGCCCACGTGCGCGAGTTCGACCCTTTTACGGTACCTACACTGGGCCAGCTCCAACGTCAGATCGACAAGTACGACAAGGAGCACGGGGAAGAGGTGAGGTGGAGACAACGGTAGCGAGATCACTGGGAGAGTATGCTGACCTCTTGAGTATCGGTTGTTTCTTCTGTCTCATTTTTTTTTTTTTTGCTTTTTTTCAATAACGCCGTCATCATGCCTGGTCCTCCACAATCCCATTAACAAATTGGTTTTGCTACTATATGTATCTAAACAACTGCATACTTGTTTTTGTCGTGTTTGCATCAGAAATTGAAAGGACGGTGTTTGCCAGTGCGTTGCCCTTGTAGATATGCGAATGTGCACACGAGTTTTTTCTCGTGGTAACAAAAGTGTCAACGGGGACAAGGGAGGACGAGGTTCCACATTGACGATCTTGGTGTATTTAGCTTTCGGTTTATCTTGTTGGTTGATTTATGCCCAGGTAGTCTCATGCCTCGTCACTCGTTTTTTTCGGCACTATCGTGATGAGCGTGCCAATGAGTTCCCTGCGGTACACGTTCCATTTTGTTGGCTTTGTGTAATGCTCCTATCTCACCTGTTGCTATTTCCTCGAATATTCAGTGTTGGGAACCATTCACGCGCTACTCAGAAGTACGGGAGACCTTCTGTAGCTTTTTTGGTGTGGTTGAGGCTGTGGTTGTGGGTGCTTGTTTTGTATTTGCCCTTTCGCGCCCCTCGCAGTATCCACCTACAGTACGATCTCGCGTTCTCTACCGACCCGGGGATCTCACTACAGCAACCGTGTGCATCTGCTTTCCTTTGGTCTGGTCTCTCTCTGGTACTCGAGTATTGTTCTTGTGACTCCGCGCCGATTCATGTCCTCGCACACGTGTCGCCCAGACTAAGAGCGTCTCGTCCATCAACAAGACGGAGATGAAGAAATACGTGCAGAGGTTCGAGGACACCTTCCTCACGGGCCTCTACAAGGGCATCCGCGTCAAGAAGAGGGACAGGACAGAGCGTATCGCCGCAATAACGACCGACTTTTGATTTTTGGTTGTTGATGTTGTTGCAACATTCACCGAGCTACGTGTCATTCGGTCGGTACTTCCTTTCGTGCGTGTTAACAGAGAGGTACCAGCCCAGAAACAGTAGTAGACGGCAACACCCGAGTGATGCTACTGCTGTGGAACCGTAAAAACATGTCTCCGTTTTTTAGTGGTTCTCCGCCAGTCTCGTATCAACGATCAGAAGGTCGTATTTCATCTCACGATCGACACTTGAAAAGATGACCCTGCCAGTAGACTGGTCTCACATCAATCGGCGGTGTTTGGGTTTGGGTTAAGGAAGGGAATACGATCAAGTCGGCATGCGAAAAGTGTTGAAACGAGAATGCTGCTGTCAACAGTTCTTTTAGCCATGGTGGCAAGCACCTTAGAAGTCGTAGAAACACTCCTCGGGTAAAGCTACACAGAGCGCGTGGCAAATCATATTCCGACATGGATACTACCAAATTCCAGACTTGGGTTGCGGCAGAGCTTCCGCAGCTTTAGCAACACGTTTGCCAATGGGATGGTATATATCGGGTTCGCTTGTCTACTGAGTGGCCCTTTGTTGGATCAAATATTACCGTGTACTACTGAACTTAATGCCGTATGATTGCGTTTGGCAACAAGCAAGCCGGCCGGCCCCACCAACGAACCCTTGTCTGCGATTGGCGATAAGGCAAGTTCCCGAAAATCAACACTGGAACCAAACGTCTCTGAATCCGATCTCGCCAACTCGTGAGCGACCACAGATACATGCCAAAGGATTCCCGTTTACATATTTTACACACCTAGACTACAAGATCGCAAAGCAACCCGCCTTTTCATCATGACGATGATATGGCCTCCAACACTTTGACCGGTCGGTGGTATAAATGGGAAATCGCACTGGTCTGCAAGCGACAAGATGCGATCATGAAGCAAGAGTCCAAGAACAAAAAAAAACCAGCTAAAACTAACCAAATGCGACGAGACAGGGCTGAGATCGCACGAGCACCATCGCCTGCGTGTTGGATGGAGGGCATTGCTGAAGAATGTGCCGCTTGGTTCTCACAAGGAAAACTTCTCAACAACTTCTTTGGTCCACAGTGCGGACCCACCTCGCATTAGTGAAGAGTGAATGCTGTTTGCCAAACTGCAATGACGTACCACAACGTTCTCACAGAAAATGGCTCCCTTCGGAATGAACAGGTATGATTCGGTGCTTGGGGCCACTTGCTAGAAGACGTCCTTGAAATTCCAGACAACTTTTCCTCTTCGAGATTTCGACCCCCTCCTCGTTCGAAAGGCTATAATAGACAAGTTCCCCGGGAGGTTCCGACCCCCTCCTCGTTCACGCGGGGTTCGTAATAACGATCGGCTCTCCTCAAGCCAAATAAACATGGACCCTCTTTGCTGAGCACAGGGGGTGTCGGTCGACGGCACGATCGTGCTCCGCAAGAAACGGGCCATCTTTTTTGGCTGAAGGAGAGCCGATCGTTCGTACGAGGTCCGAGTGAACGAGGAGGGGTCACCATCTCTCGAAGAAGGAAAGTTGTCCGGAATTTCAAGGTGCTTGGGCCCACTTGCTAGAACATGTTCTCAGATTTGATACTCTGGACATTTTCCCTCTTTGGGAGGTTCCGCCCCCCTCATCGTTCCCCCGGAGTTCGTACGAAGGATTGACTCTTCCACATGGGCCCTTTTTGGTGCTAACAGGAGGTGTTGGGCAACGACACAATCATCCTCCGCAAAAAGGGGCCACCTTTCTTTGGCTTAGGGGAGCCAATCCTTCCTACGAACTGCGAGTAGACGAGGAGAGGGTCAAAATCTCCCAAAGAGGGAAAGCTGTATAGGGTATCAACGCTTAGGGCATCTTCTAGCAAGTGGCCCCAATCACCGCATCATTTTCTTTCATCCCAAGGGAGCCGTGAGCTACCGAGCGCCTCATTTCTGTTGAACATTAAGGCACGTAGTTGCAGTTTGGCAAACAACATTTATTCATAGGAAGTGCAAGGTGGGTTCAGAAGTTAGTTTTCTTTGTGGGAGGCAAACGACTTTCCCCCTTATCATATTCAACCCACAGGAGGTCGTTCGACGGCACCATCGTGCTCCGCAATAGGGGGTAATCTTTCACTGTTTTTCAAGACCTGATCCTTCGTGCCAACTTTTGTGAGTGGAATATGTTAGGGGGCGTCGCACACGAAGACGAACGGCAGGCGGTTCGTGTCAAGTGACCTAGAGTAAATGTGCCGATTAAGGACCACTTAACGGAGCCCCCGCTCTGAGAGGTCGTCCTCGGGTGTCTTGACGATTTGTGGCGACAGAGAGGTATCGAACGTTAGCTTATAACACGACCTAAACGATGAAACAACAAAAAACAAAAAAAAATGCGTGTGGTGATGACATGGTGCCCGCGTAGTATTCTTCATTTGTCAGGGAAAAATACCGGTAAAACACAAATAATGCCCCGATTACGGACCACTTCGAATTCGTAGTGATTGCGCACGTTCTAATGATTTCCAGAACTTTTCCTTTGGCAAGTATCGTTTTAGTAGTAATACAAAGCATTTCCGAAAAAAATATTAAAAAAACATGCATGCCCGGGGACAAAAACAAGAAATCCCCGTGTTTTTCTGCCTATTTTGGGCCAAAAATGGCCTACTTGGGCACCACGCAGCAACGAGATTTCAAGTGTTTTTTGCCCGATTTTTTCGGCATCGTGGCAAGCACCCCTAGAATAGACACCATGCAAATTTTTGTTGTCATTCGGGTCGATCGTGGCAAGCACCCCTAGAATAGACACCATGCAAATTTTTGTTGTCATTCGGGTCGATCGTGGCAAGCACCCCTAGAATAGACACCATGCAAATTTTTGTTGTCATTCGGGTCGATCGTGGCAAGCACCCCTAGAATAGACACCATGCAAATTATTGTTGTCATCCGGGTTGATTTAGTCTCTATCTACATAGAGACGCGATTTGCCCCCATTTGGACGAAAATCGAGGGGGCAAAATAGAAAAAAAAGGGAAAAAAAGCGGATAAAAATACAAAACGCACGACCCAAGGTTCGAACCCGCCTCGTCCTGAGTCTAATAATGTATGTCGGCATGATGTCTTTACATTGAAAACCATCCCGGTCTCTCTCTCCAGTACCTCCTTCTGTCTCAATCTCTCCGTACTAATCCAGCACTTGACTCGGTCAATTTCCGTGGTCACAGGCTAACGTACCTAGAAAAGGTATACCAAAATAAAATGGACCCCAAGGGTTAGCAGAGTGATAAAATACAAGAAAACAAAAGAATCAGAAACAAATATATAACTAACTACTAGTGGAACGTGCGCACCACCAGCCTGGGGGGTAGCCTTCCGGAAGGACCCCAAGGGTCAGCAGTTGTTGTTGTCTTCACATTAAACCGTATGTCAGTTGGTAAATGCCAAAATCTAGCAAAGACTTTCAGCCCGTGGTCACGAAAGTGCTAGAGCCATCTGAGGATCTAATGAAGAACACGCACACATTTAACGAGAAAAAGGTATCCAAGAGCCCGAAGAGGTACACCTA